TGTGTGTGGTGGACTAAGACAGACAGCTAGATAGCATAAGTGATTTTTTAGGTAAGTTATCTATTAAACTGCGTCTGTGGTGTGTATTTCCTGATTAGGATTTGGCACTAGAAACACCCCCCTTTGACAGATAATTTCCTTAGAGCGTCATTTATAGCATCTGTGAACACCATTATATCTGAAATGATGGCACCACCCTGATACAAGCACATCAGTTGGCAGGGAACAGTGATTTTTATTTTATTTTTTCTGGTGTAATAATAATAATTACTTCTATGCAGAAATTTTATTTTTCAGGGGGCTTAATTTACAGTTTTGTTATTAAAATACTGGAGTGGAATACATTTAAAAGGTCCTCTTCACAGTAGCATTGCTGGGAGATAGCAACAGCATTTCAAATGTATGATACTATTTATGAAATCTAATACCAGTCAGCCTTGAGCTGGCTGTGTTATGTCTGAACCAGCAACAAGCTCCTGGCATGTCTAATGAAACATGAACTAAGGGCTGGAGATACTGTAAGGGCTGTAATATTTGATGTGGGTGGAAACAAATACACCTTTTTTTTTTTTTTGCAAAAAGACAAGAATACTGTAGCAGGTGAAAGAGATATTTACAAGCAAAAAGCGTTGGCCCTGTTAAATCTGGAAAACAAAACATCAAACAAACAGTACCTGGAGACATTTCGTTTTTTGTTTTTTTTTTAAAATAAAAATACCAATCTCTTCTTTTTTTCACACACACACACAAAATCACACAATCCCCTTCAGGGAATGGTGGTGTGGTACGGGTTCGGAGATGCTCCCTCACTGCCTCTCCTTCAGCTGCGCTACTTCCGTAATGAGACCATTTGTTCCCCCTACAACCAGCAGACAACTCCATGGTGACACCTGCCTTTGATCACAGGGCAAAGCCTGTTTTGGACTTTATGGCCACATATGTCACTCCGCTCTGTCCGATTTCCATTCTCTGCATGTAAATATTTTATGACATGAATTGTTCTATTAAAATATATATATAATAAATTGTGTCATTGTGTCTTCTTATTAACTTGGGGCCCTGTCACATAGAAGGATTGTAAGCTGCATATGATTTTCTAAAAACATTAAGTTTGACAATAATTAGGCTATTTGTTACCGGGATAACATTCACTGGTATATTCTCTCTGCCACGCTGGCTGATAATCACTGTGAATGAATTAGTCTCCTGGTAAACTTTATTTATTAAAGCGCTGTGAACTTTCTAATGAAAAGGAACAGCTATATCTTCTTGGAGAGCAACGACTTGTGTCACATTGTGAGATCACACTTTCTTATTTAGTAGAGGATATAGCTTTCATGATAGCTTTTTTCGAGTGTCGTTATGTGCAGTGTTGTAATGAAAAGAACAGAAAAAAGATCAATGTGACTGCTGGCTTATTGTTCTCGTTACAGCACATTCATGTCTTACTGCACTGCAAGGTTCACCAATATAAATGTGCATTTTCATACATATTTGGATTTTATTTTAGCTATAGTACATAAAAACACGCTGTTTGTTTGAACTACCTGATGGTTGCTGGCTAAGAATTGGTTGGCTCTTGCCTGGGCAGATGTTGGGAGCATGTTCACCCTAGCGCCTTTAGTAGGATAAAACTGGCATTTTAAATGAAAACTCCCATGAGAAATGACATAACCTGTTGTGTTTACGCTCACAAAAACAGAACAAGCAGTGCATTACTTTCATTTTCAGAACCAGTTCATATCATTTAGAAGTCCCACTGCACCTGGAAAGTAGGCTACGTGCCTTTAACAACTAGGTTATAGCAGAAAGGCTGTCTGTCTGGTCAAAGTTTCCCTTTTCTTAGCCTAAATTCCCCTTTTTCTCTTTCTTTCCTTCT